CGTGCCATTTGTTTCCTCAGTGATCCTATCAGTAGGACAGTTGGGTGGTAATGTGTTGGGTTAGATTCCAATTATTTCTCTGCTTTTCTTTGTGAAGTCATAGTTTTGAATTTTAATTGTTATATGATAACTTCTAATAGTACTGGTTAGACTACTTTTGTGGAATAGAAATATATTCACCGTAGAGGTTGGGTATACAGTTCTATAACTAATAATAGTCCTGACCTGAACAAACAACACCCTGCTACTTTTCCAGGGAATGGGCAGATTTTCTCTTAAATTACCAGTTTATTTGCAATGAAGTCAAGGGGTTTCACTGACTTTCATCTTACCCAAACAGTAATAGGTATTGTCTCCCTTTAAGGAGCACAGCATTTGAATTTCCATGGAAAATTCTTATCCTTGTCTGCCGTAATACATGATTACGGATCTGAAGAAGGTTAAGCAAATGAAAGAGTGACAATAGATTTTTTAATTTGTATAGCAACTTTAAGACAAAAATATTCCAATGTGTTTTATGGAAAAAAGTAGGGGGAATTAATACTAGGTAGCAGAAATAAACAGAGTGAGTTAAGACCATGACCAAATATTTGGTTGAAAAGATAAGCATAATTAAGATTTTCAAAAGTGATGCAATAGAGAACTGATGGTATACAGGTAAGGAATTCTAAAACGTAAGATTCTGAAACAACTGGATTGTCACAAATGCTGGGATGAGTAGAAGAAAAAAAATGTACAAAGAACCTGAGTTTGAAGACAAGGTTTCATGAGGGACATGAGGCTGGAAGAGGCTGCAGTTGTAAGGTGCGAGGAGAAGGTCTGCAGACAACAATAAAACTTTTAATTTCAGTGTACTGGCAAGAGATCAAGACAATTCAACAAGTGCAGACATATTGGGGAAGCAAGATATATTATGGACATTGCCGAAGAAATACATAACAATGGATTCTTAACCCTGTTCCTTAAAAGAAAGGATGTAGTAATCAATAACTGTAGTTCAGGATTTGATGATTCACAATTAATTGTAAATCCTGTGGATAAACTAAGTGCATGTAGATTTAGGTATCATTATGGTAGGAAGGGAAAACTTTCGGAAGGTCTGTACATAATGGAGCCAAATACAGTAGTTAAGAAAATGTCTCCTGTGCTTAAAATCAATCACCACAGAAGGAAGCCATTCATGTTTGTACCAGTTCTTTGAAAGCATTGTTTAGTTAGTTCAACAGACCTATGTTTTCCCCATAGCTGTGTAATTTTGTTCTTTTTGAGATGCATTCAAAACTTTTTGTAAGTTACTGGTGAACCTGGTTTCCTTTCAGGTGGTGCATTACAGATCGCAAAACTCAATGCATGTATTAAAAGAAAACTTCCACTCATCACCCTTGCTAATTACTTAAATCCAGCACGACTAAATAACAAACCCATCAGTCAAAACAATTTCTTTTTATTTAGCCTGATCATAATTCTAATCAACTCTGCTGTAACCATCTCTGCTTTAGGAACAGCACCAGATCCTCATATGAACATTAGAATGAGGAGCAGCAGTAGGCAATTCAGCCCCTTGAGCTTGCTCCACCACTTAACACGATCATGTTTGATCTCATCTCAGCCTCAATTTCAACCATTATTAATTAAAAATGTGCCTGTCTCCTCAAGTTTTGGATAGTGAATTCTACAGATTCACAATGCTTTGAAAGAAGTAGTTCCCATTTGTCTCTGTTTTAATTCTGACATTCTTTAGCCTAAAACTCTGACCTTTCATTCTAGATTCCTAGGGAAACATCCTTTCTATGTCTAGTATACTAATCCCCTTTAGCATCTTAAATACCTCAATTAGATCACGTTTCATTCATCTAAACGCTAGCAAGTACAGGCCTTAACTGCTCAAACTCCTCATAACACAAGTTGTTTGTCTCTGGAATTAAGCTGGTGAACCTTCTCTGAACTGCCTCCGATGCAATTACATCTTTCCTCAAGGGGTTCAAAACTGTACACAGTATTCCAGATGTGGTCTCACCAATCTCTTGTACAGTTGCAACATCTCTTCACTCCTTTTATACTCCATTCCTTCGGCAATAAATGTCAAAATTCTATTTGTCCTCCTTGTTACCTGCTGTGCCTGCATTCTACCTTTCTGCGATTCGTGCACAAGGTCACCTAGATCCCTTTGCATTAAAGCATTTTGAAGTTTCTCCTCATTTAGATAGTAAGGTGCCTTTTTGTTCTTCCAACCAAAATCGATAACCTAACACTAATCCACATTAAACTCCTTCTGCCAAACTTTAGCTCATTCACCTAATCTATCCATATCTATTTGTGAATTTCTTATTTCTTCACTGCAACATACTTTCCAAACTATTTCAGCATCATTTGCAAATTTGGTTATAATACAGTCTCGGCCTGCATCCAAGTCATGAATATAAATTGTAAATAGTTGGGGTTCAAGGACCAAACACTAGTTATAGCTTGCCGAACAGTAAAAAGACCCAAAAAATTTATCCTGACTCTATTCTTTCAGTTTATTAGTCAATCTCTATCCAAGTTAATATACCATGTGATCTTACCTTGTGTGAAACCTTATCGAATGCCTTCTGCAAGTCCAAATATACAACATCTACAGGACACACATTATCTACTTTGCTTGCTATATCTTTGATCTCTGGTTCAATTATAGTAAATCTTCTCTACATCCTCTCCAAAGTCATGACATTCTTTCTAAACTGTATTGTCTACAAATATTCCAGACAAAGCTTAACAAGTGATTTATAAAAGTGTAGCATAAGCTTTTTTGCTTCAGTACTCTATTCCTCTATTATTAAAATCGAGGGCACCTTATGCATCTTTCACAATTTTATTTGTTCTGCCACTTTCAAAGATTGGTATATCTTTCAGACTTGCTCCTTAGTCCAATTAGATTGGGTTACAATATTGAAGTCTCAGCTCTTGTGAAAACCTCATGAATCTGCAATACAGCATTCAGCCAAACAACACTTCATCCAGGGGAATTTTCTTTCGGTTCTCTGTACATGGATAATATCATTCCACTCTTAAGGAAGGATATTTACTAAAGTCTACATTTTCTTTGCTTATCTTGGAAAGAATTGATTGATTTTTGTTGCGTAATTTCTAATTAGCTTGCATGCATAAGGTAGGGGCAGTTTATGTTAGCCCTTGTGCCCTCAAGTTGATCCTTAAATCCACTCTGGGTCTAGAATTACTGATTTGGAATTCCAAATGGTATGAATTTATTCTCTGCTCCCCATAACCCCAGTTTCATTGCAAAGGAAGAGAGGAAATGTCACATCAGCAGTTACCCGTTTATCTTTCATCACTAGTTAAGTATTTTCATTACCCTTTTTTCTCCCACAAGTGCAGGATCTACTTGTCAGCTCAATTCTTACTTATTAGTGTGATTTTTTAGAATAGCAAAAATGTTGCCTCAGACCTTTTCCTTTGAAAATTCACATTCTGCTTTCTTGACCCCAAACACACTAACCTCTCCCTTTGCAAAAACAGATCATTGTGCAAATTACCTAAACTGTCACTGGACTGTCAAGCACAGGGCAAATACTTACAAATTTATTAACTGCCTAATTTTATGGTCAGGGAACCAGACTTTCAGTTCATAACTCAAGTGTGCAATTCAAAATAGTACAGCGAAGTGAGACAGCACAAAAATGAAGTAGACAGGAAAAAAAGAAGTGTTTCTATTTCACAAAGCCAAAACAAGTAAGTTGAGAAAATGTGGGCAAGAAGAATTAGAATGGGATGAAACTGATGAAAATGGGCTCAAAGAATAGACAAGATTCATGTGCAAAATAACTTTTCTGATCATAGATACAATATCTAACTGCAAAATTATTATAAAATGTTAGGTTTTGAATTACTTACAAGAAGTTGAAATAGCACCTAAAGTTTACAGTAAGATTTACAGTCAAGATAACTTCAGGTTTGGTCTTACTAAGATGTATTTTCTAGTTTGACAAACTCTGACTCAAACTTTTAGGAAGCCAGAAGGGCTACATGCATTAGCCAAATGACACCAGAGACCTGACCTGATTTCCAAGTTCTGCCCTGAACCAGGCATCCACTATTTACACTGAATGGGGATGGGGGCGTGGTCCTTTTGAAAAGATAACATGCACTTTTGAAAAGCAAAGGTGATCTTTAGGAGAGCTAAGTTATGCTATGGAAGAACTAAATTCTCCTTTGCGATTATTAAGGGTAAACAGGATTGTCGCAAAAAGCAGAAAAGATCAGTAGAACTGCCAAGCTGTCAAGTCAAAAGCTGTTAAGTTCAAAAAAGCCTGCTGGGGCGGCTTGTAATTTTGCTGGCCCTCTGCTGACATATGCCTGAGCACTATTATTGAGAATCAGGTGCTGATTGACTGATTCCACAGCCTAGTATCATCACAGTGGGGAGCAGTAAGTGCACAATTGACTGACAGCTCCAAGTGATTATAAAGACTTCATATGTGGCTATGAATAAAATATCTGCTTTCATAAAGAATTAAGTTGAAGAAATTTAATTGCATTGATTGGGCTTTTAGATTAAAATTCCTCTTTTTTAAAAAAGAAGAAAAATCTGCAATAGACATTTAGGACCTTGTTTTATTTCAATTCACCAGGGTTCTTGAGGGCTGTCTGCGGTGGATACTGGATTAATTGAAATGAAGGGTGTAAGAGAAAGGGGTGGTGGGTGGGGTATTGGGTTGGTTTGAGCTGGCAAAAGGTTGGCAGCTGGCAATAAAGGGCAGTTCTATTGACATTAGGATGTTTACAACTGAAGGCTGACTCTAACTGGCATTATAATGGAAAACTTTCAGGCATATTTACGAGGCATACCAGATTTTTGTGGATTGTACCAATGACTTTGATGAAAAAGATTATCAGACTAGGAAGGAACTCAAAATTGGCCTTCAAGCTTCTGAAGCTTTCAAACAGTGAGTTTGGAAATTTAGCAGGGTGAGTCAGATGCAATTCTACACCAAGAGTCTTACTTGGAAAATATCAAACCTATTGCAATCTGTGCCAAGTCTGGACAGGAAGATACGGCTGCCACCAATAATGAGAAGGAACAGCTGTGGAGTCTCATCGGACAGCTTTACTGATTAGGTACACAGACTAGAACAGATGTAAGTTTTGGTGTGCTGAAACTTATCCTGGCCACAAAAAATCCAGAAGTACAAGACATCTTGAGAGTGAACAGAACTTTTAAAAAATTGAAAATAGAAATTGAAAATGTATACTAAAGTTCCCAACCTTGAGTGATTCCAAAAACATGACATTAATAATTTTTAGAGATGCTTTGCATGCAAATTTTGTTGACAGATTTTACAGTGCAGGAGGATTTGTGAAATTGCTTGTGGGAGAAAATGAGAAAAGTTGCCCATTGGATTGGGAGGCAAAGTAAATAAGAAGAGTGTAAAGAGCACATTAGCTGCTGAAAATCTGACTCTAGTTGACGATATTGATCTTGGGGGAAATGCTATATATAAAAAGAACTGAAAAATAGCCCCAACAGAATGTTAGATAATCGGTCGTTGTACAATAATGACTAGTCCACAAACAGTATAAATGAGAAAAGTGAGGCTCAGGATAGATAAGGTCAGCTTAAAGCAGATATTGGAGAGGAAGGAAATCTCCAAGATTAGGTGGGTAGATGATAGTCATCTGCTATCAGATTGTTTCACAAAGAGGAAGACTGTTACAGAAAAGCTAGTTCAACACACACATCAAGATATTAACTTGTAACCATATATTACTTCTTACAGATTGCAATTAGGCCATTTGTTCCCCCCAAAACTGCAAGGATGATAATCAAGGTGATTACTATACATACACTGTCCAGTGCAAAAATGGCTCAATGGTTTAAACTGGAAAATTTACCTGTTCCCCCATATTTATCTGCCATGTTGATATCGATGTCTGATTTTACTCTTAACATCGTTCGAAGGACATCATCACTGCCCTTTCCTGCAGCCCACATAAATGCAGTCCGTCCCTCCAGGTCCGGGTCATCTTTCACTGATGGATGATTCAAGAATACTTCAACAGTCTCCTATGCAAGAAAAGATTTAAATTCATTCCACAGTATTTGCACTCAATTTTATATAATCCAGCTTTCAGCAATCTCTCATGAACACAGCTCCTTTTTTGTTAGACACCGCCTCCTAATAAAGGGCTGGGTTTCACAGCACTCTGCTGGAGGAGTGGGGAAAACCCCTAGGTAACAAATTACAGGCCACTTAGGTATCTCTTTCTGCTTGTGCCACTGTTTCACTGCAAGACGGAAAGGTGGAGACAAGGCACTACCATGTATTTTTCACTGCACAGACAGGTAACAGGGAAAAGGGGATGACTTCCTTTCAGGGGCCCACCAGAGACAACCTTGAAGATCATAGCTCCTCCTCTAACCTTATTCGTATGCATCCAAAATCTGTTTTAAAAAAGCCATGACCCCTCCTCACCTAGCAATAACAAATTTGGGGATTCCGTCTGTGACACTTAGTTCTCAAGTGAAAGAATTAAAGCAGATAAACAAATTGTTCCTTCAAAAGCTATTAAAGTGAAGAAACTGCAAGAAAATGTTTTCTTGAACTCTAAGACTTAAAGAGTGCCAAGATGTTTACATTCGACGTTAATGCTTTAATAGAACAGGACAAAATAACATGTGAGAACTTGACAGACTTGCCCTTAGAAATATGAAAAGTAATAGTTAAGAGCTTACAGATGGAGTTCTGCCTGAAAGCCAGGAAAATCAAAAATTGTAAAATGAACTAGAAACTAAGGATAATGAAACAGATCAATCAAAATAGTATTAGCTAACACAAGAAATGGAATTTCAGCAAAATAAAAGCAAGGAGAAAAGAGGAAAAGGGTAGAATATGGAAAAATGGAGAGGCAGAAAAGGGAAGAGGAGAGAATTCCAGGCAACAGAGAAAGAGAATTTAAATTGATGTAGCTCTGGCAGAGAAGGGAGACTAAAATCAATTCAGAGTAAAACATAACTCAGACTCAAGTTTGCCGATTTAATTCCCAAGTCAGGAAAAGACAGGAAAGAAAGGGATAACACAGAACAGTTGACATTTTGGGTTGGGGCCCTACTTCAGAAAGGGTTTCTGAAAGGTTTCTGAAGAAGGGTCCTGACCCGAAATGTCAACTTTCCTGCTCCTCTGATGTTGCCTGGCCTGCCATGTTCCTCCAGCTCCACACTGTGTTATCTCTGACTCCAGCATCTGCAGTTCTTACTATCTCTGAGGAAAGACAGGGAGGTGGTGTTGCTCTGATATTTAAGGATGACATCAGGTCAGTAGCGAGAGATGATATAGCTTCTATGGAGAAAAAGGTTGAATCAATGTAGGTGGATATTAGAAATAGTAAGGGGAAAAAGTCAGTAATAGGCTTAGTCTATAGGCCACCACATAATAACATCATGGTGGGGCGGGCAATAAACAAAGAAATAACTGATGCATGTAAAACTGGTATGGCAAATATCATGGGGGATTTTAATCTACATATTGATTGGTGAAACCATGTTGGTCAAGGCAGCCTTGAGGAACAAAAACAGAAGTTGCTGCAAAAGCTCAGCAGGTCTGGCAGCATCTGTGAAGAAAAAATCAGAGTTAACGTTTCGGGTCCTGTGACCCTTCCTCAGAACTCCTTGAGGAGTTGTTCATAGAATATATCTGAGATACTTTCTTCAAACAGTATGTAATGGAACCTACGATGGAGCAAGCTATCCTAGATCTAGTCCTGCGTAATGAGACAGGAATAATTAATGATCTCATAATTAGGTATCCTTTCGGAAGGGGTGATCACAGTATGGTTCAATTTAAAATAGTGATGGACGGTGAGAAGATAAAATCCAATACTTGTGTCTTGTGCTTAAACAAAGGAGACTACAATGGAAGGAGGAGGTAGTCAAATTGGAGAGCAAAGGGAGTCTAGACAGAGAAGACAGAACTATTTCTAACCATTAAGAGGAGGGAATTGGTTGGCAGACTGGTAGGAAACTGCCCCAATTGCTTCCATCGCCAGAAGGCCAAGCATATAAAGGAAAACTGTTGGTTCTGGTGTTGCCCAGATATTCAAGCTGCAGGACCAATGTTTATGGCATTAAGGATGGTCAGGCATGATTGTGGACCAGGACAGTAGTCCAGAATTTGTATCAATAAAGAAATCTGTGTTCCCCAACAAAGCAGATGCTCATAGATCTTGCTGGTGGGGAAAGTAAAAAGATTTTCCACCGGTGAGCAAATGCGATCATAGCTCTGTTACTTTTACAATAGTCATGGAAAAGGATAGGTACATACAGCAGGGTAAGGTTTATAACTGGGGGAACAGTAATTATAATTCTGTTAGGCAAGAACTGGGTAACATAAAATGGGAACTGATGCTGTCAGAGAAGAGCACTATAGAAATGTGGAGATTGTTTAAGGAATGCATGCTGCATGTGCTTGATATGTTTGTCCCTAGCAGGCGTGGAAGATGTGGTCGAGTGAGGGAGCCTTGGTTCTCAAGAGAGGTCGAACGACTGGTTAAGAGGAAGAAGGATGCTTATATAAGGTTTAGGAAACAAGGATCAGAAAAGGCTCTAGAGGGATACAAGTTAGCCAGGAAGGAGCTGAAGAAAGGGCTTAGGACAGCTATAAGGGGGCATGAGAAAACCTTGGCAGATGGGATCAAGGAAAACCCTAAGGCTTTTTACACGTACGTGAGGAATAAGAGAATGACCAGAGAAACGGTAGGGCCGATCAAGGATTGTATAGGGAATTTGTGTACGGAGCCTAAAGAGACAGGAGAGGTCGTTAATGAATACTTTTCTTCGGTATTCACAACTGAGAGGGACCTAGTTGGAGAGGAGGACAGTGTGAAACAGGCTGGTAGGCAAGAGGAGGTGGATGTTAGTAAGGAAGATGTACTAGGAATTTTGGGGAACTTGAAGATAGATAAGTCCCCTGGGCCTGATGGGATTTATCCAAGGATTCTATGGGAAGCAAGAGAAGAGATTGCAGGGCCTTTGGCGATGATCTTTTCATCCTCGTTGTTCACGGGTATAGTGCCGAAAGATTGGAGAGAGGCAAACGTCATTCCCTTGTTCAAAAAAGGGAACAGGGATAACCCGGAAATTACAGGCCAGTTAGTCTTACATCAGTGGTGGGCAAATTATTGGAAAGGGCTCTTAAAGATAGGATTTATGATCACTTGGATGGGCACAGTTTGATTCGTGATAGTCAGCATGGATTTGTGAGGGGTAGATCATGCCTCACAAACCTTATTGAATTCTTTGAAGAGGTGACCAAACATGTGGATGAAGGTAGAGCAGTGGATGTGGTATACATGGATTTAAGTAAGGCGTTTGATAAGGTTCCCCATGGTAGGCTCATGCAGAAAGTAAGGAGGCATGGGATAGGGGGAAATGTGGCAGATTGGATTCAGAATTGGCTGACCCTAAGAAGACAAAGGGTGGTAATGGATGGAAAATATTCAACACGGTGCTCAGTTACGAGTGGTGTACCACAAGGGTCTGTTCTGGGTCCTCTTCTATTTGTGATTTTTGTAAATGATTTGGATATAGGAGTGGAAGGGTGGATTAGTAAGGTGGGTTGAGTTGTGGATAGTGCGGAGGGCTGCTCTAGATTGCATAGGGACATTGATAGGATGCAGAGCTGGGCTGAAAAGTGGCAGATGGAGTTTAACCCTGAAAAGTGTGAGGTGGTTCATTTTGGAAGGACAAACTTGAAAGCAGAACACAGGGTTAACGGAAAGATTCTTGGCAGTGTGGAGGAGCAGAGGGATCTCGGGGTTCATGTCCATAGTTCCCTGAAAGCTGCCACCCAGGTGGATAGAGTTGTTAAGAAGGCATATGGTGTGTTAGCTTTCATTAATAGAGAGATTGAGTTCAAAAGCCGTGAAGTTATGCTCCAGCTATACAAAAGCCTGGTTCAGCCACGTCTGGAGTATTGTGTCCAGTGCTGGTCGTCTCATTACAGGCAAGATGTGGAAGCGTTGGAAAAGGTGCAGAGGAGATTTACCAGGATGTTGCCTGGAATGGAGGGAAAGTCTAACGAGGAAAGGTTGAGAGAGCTAGGGCTTTTCTCTTTAGAATGACGAAGGATGAGAGGTGACTTGATAGAGGTGTACAAAATGATCAGAGGTATAGATAGAGTGGATAGCCAGAGACTTTTTCCTAGGGTGGAGGTAGCTATTATGAGGGGGCATAGTTTTAAAGTGAGTGGAGGTAGATATAGGGGAGATGTCAGAGGTAGGTTCTTTACTCTGAGAGTGGTCGGGGCGTGGAATGCAGTGCTGGAGAGGGTAGTGGAGTCGGCCTCATTAGGGGCATTTAAGCGGCTATTAGATAGGCACATGGATGATAGTATAAGGTAGGGGTGGATGTTAGATAGACCTTAGGTTTAGGGTAAAACTTCGGCACAATATCGTGGGCCGAAGGGCCTGTACTGTGCTGTACAATTCTAGTTCTATGTTCTAAAACAGAAAACAGCAGCTCAGAAAGGCTGGAGAAAGCCAGCAGCAAGCAGCAGACATGTCAGGAACTAAGAGAGGTTCGGAAGCCCTGGGGGACAGCAAAACATGTGAGCTTTGCAGTGCCTGAAGAAGTGCCACTTGAGCCAAACCAGCAATGAGACTGGGAGCCAAGAGATTTGTAAGGCCTACAACAAGAACAAAACCTGTAAGTTTGATGTAGCCCAGGATAGATCAGTCAACTTAAACAGAGCTGAATTAAAGCCAGATGTATCGGAAAGGGTCAGGACATTCACGTTCTAGACAATAAAACCTACTCTCTCTTTCTCTCAAGAAAGCCTTGGGATTGGTTTTCCCTCATTGTTGACCTATTCGCTAAGTTTAATTAAAATATGATAGCAAGGTGCTGAAAAACACATTTTTAAATTGTTATAGCCAATTAAGAAGTCAATTAAAAAAGAGGGGGAACATGATCTCCTCCTCTCCTGATTGCTATGAGGCTTATTATCAACTTGTCAGTTAGCAGCTTACTAGCACCCGGAGTAATACAGCCCAATGATTCATCTATTGCTA